AGACTGTCTATCTTTTGTCCACAGAGCAACTGGTGAATTAGAATCACCAATTTTTATTTAGCAGTCCTATTATTCTACTAGGACTTAAATGACCACTGGGCATACTAAACTTCACATGATGAGAATGCCTACAATTATCCATACTCAGTCAGTGACATCATTATGCTGCCACTTTGTTCAAGACAAAAATCTTGATATTCTCCATGTTCCTGCACCTCTTTCTAGTCATCCCAACACCAATCTTACTACACTCTTTATGTGCTGTTGAGTTGTCCATGTCTCATGGAGACCCTATGCACAATAGCTCTAAACCCTGTGCTGTCCTGAGCCTGTCTCACTGACTCTGACACATCTAACCCCATTGCCTCAGTTACTTCATCAATCCATATCCTCTAGGGTTTTTCTCTCCTCCATGCAAGCATGTGTTCTTTTCCAAGAACAGCTGTGTGCCCAAATTATGTGAGATGGAGCTTGTGGAGTATGTGAGGAGAAATTCTGTTTCACTCTCATCAAGACAGACCTATTTGTTCTCCTGGTAGCCCATGGTGTGTTCAATATTCTTCTCCAGCACCACAAATCAAAGGCATCAATTCTTCCTCTGTCATCCTTAGTCATTGTCCAGTTCTCTGATGCATAACAAGTAATTGCGAAGATCATGACCTGGATCTGGTGCACCTTAATCTCTACAACTGACGTCATTGCTTTTAAGCACTTTTGAGAGATACTTTACAGTAGACTTCCCCAAAGCAGCTTGTCTTTTGATTTCCCAACTTCTGGCATCAAGATGTTGATTGTGGAGCTGAATCTTGCTCATCTTTGAAATTGCTAACAATCTTAATCTCTTCTCCACCAATCATGTTGCTGCCAGTTGGCCCATTGGTGACAATCTTTGTCTTCTTGATTTTGAGCTTCAATCCATATTGAAGTCTACAATCACCTTCTGCAGCAAATGCTTCAGGTGCTGCTGAGGTGTAGCAAGCAATGCTGTGTCATCTGCACAATGCAGGCTGTTGATGAATCTTCCTCCAATCCTGATGCTACACTTCTATTAAATCCAGCCTCCTGAATGATCTATTTCACATAAAGATTGGGAAAAGTATGGAGACACACTCTCTTCCTCATTTTGAACCATTCAGTGTCTCCAAGCTGGTTAGAGTTGGAGCCCTTTTCTTACTTTTCATCCCCTGACTGTCAGAAATGCCCAGTGGTTTTACTGCTTTACTGGGTCCAGGATGTGATGAAACAGCTCACAAACCACACAGAACCATATTATGGAAGTCAGAATGCTGTCATTCAGGTTAGTAGAAGAATACACTCACTCAGGCAGGATAACTGCGGACACATGCTTACAGGTGCTTCAGCCTTGAACTTTGTGGCTTTAGGTCCATGTGGCAAAGCTCTCAGTCCTGCCAATTTTTGTTCCCCCAGCTCCTTTCCCAACAACTCTCCCCATTCCTAGTCCTCCAACAAATTCGGGCAAAAGCCTCTTAGCTCTGGTTCAATGGTGTAGCAGCCTCAAGGTCCACTGCTCATGTCAGATTTCTGGTGCTCTGTTGTGGTGGCTCATATTAACTAATGATGTCTGCAAAGATACTACTTCCAAACAAAGTTATGCATCAAGATTGTGTTCTTTCACCATACCTATTTAATTTGCATACTGAGTAAATAATCTGAAAAGTTGAGCTACATAAAGAAGAAGGTGGTTCTTGGCATCATGCATTATCTGTAATGAGATCACAGAGTTTTGAAGTGAGCATTAGATTAACTTCACTTGCACACTATGAACTTTGACTACTTATTTTATCTCTGTAGACCTGTTTTTCAACTCTCATGTGGAAAAGTAATATCTGTACCATCTTATAAAGCAGAGAAATGCCTAATGGGTCAATGAAGAGAATGTGTCCAATCTGAGCCCTACACTATTTATTATTGAAGCTGCCTTTCTTTCACTTAATAGATTTCATCTCTTCGTAAAAAAATCAACCAACCATGAGAGGATGTACTGTTTCTGAGTTCCCAATTATTCTCCATTGGTCTATGCATATGTTGCTATACTAGTGCCACACTGTTTTGATTACTGTGGTTATGTCATTTCCACTGAAACTCAGAGGTCCAGAATTATCATCCATATTTGTCTTCTTTATTCTCTGGTATCTTTGATGTAGAGGATCTAGGGAACAGTCTGCCTAATTTACCGTCTTGCCATAAAACTACCAATATTTCCATATCTTGTGCTTAAGTGAAATGCCACCCAGGTAGAAGTGGAGAAGGGCCACCAGAACTCCCTCATAACCCTGGTATCTTACATTGACGTTATTCCTTTCTCTGAGGTTCTCTGCAGCAGAGAACACAGAGAAGGCTCTAACTGCTGGTAGGCATCAGTGCATAGAATAGCCTGGAGGGCTTGCTCAAATCCAGCATGCTGACCTCTTGAGTCCCAGACTCCATAGTTGAGTACAACCACGCCTTCGAATGTCCAACGAGTGTCAACTGTGCTGTGGGGATCGACAGTTTGGTAACCACTGCACCAAGCTGAGTCACATTGCATGCTTTGGTGGTGGTATGCACTGTTGAGTCAAAACTGACCTATAACTGACCCTCCAGCAGGTTTTCAGAGGCAGTTTAATCACACGAAAAGAGATTGTTCATCTGTTTCTTACAGAGCATCTTATGGAATAGAACAAGGTGCAGCTCCTTACCAAGTAAAAGAAATCTCAACTGTAAGTCTTGGAAATGGGAGCTCTGGTGCTCTGGAGGTTTTGCTGCCAAGCAAAATCTGCAGGCTGGAGGGTGCTGAGTGTGTACCGACAGAGAGTCTGCATGAAGTAAGGCTTACCCCTGAGGAAAACAGCGCCTCAGGCCCAGCCTGGCCCCAGTGCAGGCTCCTCTGGCATCTGCCAGGTTGGGTCCTAGAGCTGCAAAGGCTCAGGAACAATAACTTCAGTTGTTGTTAAGTGCCACTGAATCAGAGACAACTCATGAGCCTATGACCCTATGAACAAAAGAGCTGAACACTTGAATAACTTTCATCTTTTCTCTAAGTTCATAGAGTTTCTGAAGGCAAGCTATTTCGAAAGTGGATGCCACTCCTGCTTCCAAGCCTGTTTTAATCTGGGAACTCCATCAGACACTGTCCACCATCAGTAACCATTATCACATTTGACATATCAGTGTCACAGTGTTTAGCACCACAGCAACCATATACAGTTACCTCTGTACAGCAAATGGACAGAATAGTGCAATACCATTTAGAAGAATGTTTGGCCAAACACAATTAAAACCAGGCCTTGGAGCTGCAGATTAAAATCACCCACCTTTTGCTTGGTAGCATCACTTTCTATTCACGAGGCCAATACAGCTCTCTCTATGACTCACAGCAATTCTATGGAACAACAAATCTAACCCCTACCCCATCCTATGCCATCCTTAAAATTCAAGACATGCTTGAGCCTATTGTTACAATCACTGTATCAATCTATCATATTGAGGATCTTCTTTTCTTCTCTGACCTTCTACTTCTCTCAGCATGATGTCATTGCCCAAGGACTGGAACCTTCAATATGCACCAAATACACTTACTGACAATGTGTAGGTTTGGAGTTCTGTAAAACTTTTTTCACTTCTACAAAGTTCTGAAGAAATTATCTATTTTATATGCTGTCTCCCTGAATGTGTCCGTGACAGCAAATAAAAACGGGTCTCAAGTCCTCTGGAACTAAAGTACACCAATGTGTCTTCATTTTTAAATTATTCTATTCTCATTAGTTTCCTTTTAATTTTTGACAGAATGTCAGTCTAACGTTTTTCACTAAGACAGCATTTACTCAACTATCCTTTGCTTGAGCTCTTAAGGGCTGGTAGTGAGGAATTTCCACTCTCCATGTGTCACTCTTTTTACTCTCCAATCTTTGCTTCATTTAACTTTGTGTTCCTACTCGGCTTCTCCTAATTCCTTTTTTTTTTTTTTTTGGCTTCTCCTAATTTCTAAGGTAATGTTTACTAAACAGAGAGTAGAGCTGAATCCATGGAAATGGCAAAGAGTTGATTCATTCTACAAATTCATTTATTAGAGAAAGGTTATTGGCTACCTACTATTGTATCAGGAACTGTGGTAGCCTAGTGGTAAGAAATTGTGTTGCCAACCCAAAGGCTCATGGTTCAAATCCACCTGCTGCTCTACAAGAGAAAGATGGGGAATCTCTTCCTGTGTGATTAACTGCTTCTGAAAACCCACTGAAGGATCCATTATGGATTGGGTCTGACCCAATGGTACATAACAACAACAACACCAACACTATTGTCTCAGGACTGTTTGAGGAACACAGATAGACACAGGAACACTCTTAATAGTGACCTCAGCCAGCTGACTGATTGGGCCATATTCCCTCTCCCAGTTCACCAAGGAGTTATTCTTGATATATATAGGAGAAAGCACTGTTACCCAGGTGTAGCATGAAGAAAATAATAGTCTCAACAAACTGTAAGGTATGCTCTGAGAATTAATTGGATAGTGTCCAGAGTACCAGAGAAGTAGCACATTGCCTTGAGATAAAAGTGGAGACTCCACTAGAGAAGTCCCACATACTTCTCGGTGTCATCTACTAAATTGCAAATAATTACAATCTGTTCTTTAGAAATTGAATGTGCCTGGCACTTTGCCCAGAGATTATCTTTTGTGTTGCAAAACTGTTCTTTGACTAAGGTTACATCTTCTTCAAAAAGTAGCTGATATCTGACCCTGGTTAATAGTCAGTGGGTGGCTTTTCTCTGGAGCTGTTCTCTCTCTGGCCCTTGATCAAACAGCTTTGGAGACCTTACCTTGGTGTTTGTCACAGTTCTGGTTGATGCAGTTTGTGGCACAAGAGCTCTAGAATCCTGCCTTCTAAACAAGACCTCTCCATCCTCTGCTGTTCCCCTCCACCAACACTTCTTAGCTCCCCACTCCCTTGGCTCTTCCTGGTCAGCACATCCCTGACATCTATTCTGTCCTATCTGTGATTATGTGGGCCTTCCTGGTGAGACCTGAGTGCATCCTGTGCGTGTCTTCAGCCTTCCTAGTGTTGGCTCAGCTAAGATACAATCTCCCACCCAGGTATGTTTAAGGGGAAAGGGGCAATGAAAGTTTCTTTTCCACTGGAGGTATGCCTGGAGCTCCTGAAGGAAGGGATTTCCTCATATGCCTGTCCTACATAGAAGTCTTAGAGCTCTAGTGGCCTAATGGGTAAGGAATTATGTTTCCAGGCCACAGGCAGGAGGTTCTAATCCTGCTCCACAGGGGGGAAAAATGGGCAATCTACTCCCTTGTAATTTACAACCCCTGGAAAACCCACGGGAGGGTCAACTATGAGTGGGTGGCAATAAACAACAAAAAAACCATACCTCATGGCCAATAGCTCTAGGATTTCATGCAGCTCTTTTGTCCTTGCAGGATTAATCAAACCCACCTGACCCCCTTCCACTTGAAAGATCGCACTGAAGGTCTGAAAGTTAAGGGCTCAAACTTCACACTAGGTGGGTTTCCGTTCCTGATTGTAGCAGGCACTGTGCACTACTTCCGGGTGCCAAGGGCATACTGGAGGGACCGCTTGCTGAAGTTGAAGGCTGGTGGCTTCAACACTGTCACCACGTAAGTGTTAGCTATTAGCAATTCTATCAATATTTTTAAATCTCAATATTTAGCTCTGGTAGTGGACTTGATAAGACCAGTCCAAGTGAGAGTTCTCACAGTATCTTTCTGATAGATCATAGCATGTCTCAACCTTCGACAGTAGCTTCATATCCTGTAGACAGAGCCTCATGCAATTCCTCTGTAACGTTCACACTGTAAAAAAGATTACTATTGCTGGGATACAAGACTACAGCTTTCCGAGTCACATGCTGCAGATGGACAGATGGTGGCAGCACAAGTGATGCCCACATATTGCATGATGGAATCACTCAAAAAGCCTTCTTTTGAAAAATCAGTCCCCTGGAGAGCATTCCAGAAGTCCATGTGAAAACCCCAAGTGATTTCTTTGTGCTCTTCTAAGCCTACATATCCTTTGTAATCAGATTGTTTTTCTTTTTCTTGCTGGAGTGTTGGAGTTTTCTATACATTTTAGAGCTGAGTCCCTTCTCATATTTGTCGTTGCCAAATACTTTCCCCAAACTCCAGCTTCTTTTTTAACTCTTTTAGAGAAGTCTTCTGATGCACATAAGGATTTAATCTAATTCTGATGTACATAAGGATTTTAATTTTAATTCGTCTAGTGTATCCTCTGTTGATTTCACATATAGTTGATAGTTTATTGCTTTTCTATCCTATAGTCAGGGAACTTCAGTGGCCTACTTACAGGAACCTGAGCTCCAATCCTGAAGGCACAAAGTTTGAATCTGCCAGCTGCTCCACAGAAGAAGAGTGGGCAGTCTCCTTCTGTGTGATTGACTGCCTCTGAAAACCCACCAGAGGGTCAGCTATGAGTTAGTTCTGACACAACAGTACTGAACAACACCACACCCTATAGTTAATCCATATCTGTGATCTACAAATGACACAACCCTGCTTATTGAAACTGAGGAGGACCTGAAGTGCTTGCTGCAGAAGATCAAGGACTGCTGTCTTCAATATGGATTGAAACTCAACATCAGGAAGACAAAGGTTCTCACCACTGGGCCAACTGGGAGCACCATGATAGATGGAGAAGAGATTGTTAACAATTACAATTTGCTTGGCTCCACAGTCAACACTCTTGGCTCTGTTATTGTTGTTGTTGTTGATTGCCATGGAATTGAGGATGAATCATAGTGACCTTATGAACAAAAGATTTGAAGTCTTTCTTTAACTATTGTCATTTCTCAAAGTTTGTAGAGTTTCCAGAGGCATGTCATTTAGGAAGTGGATGCCACTCCTGCTTCCAAACTCTTGGCACTAGCAGTCAGGAAATCAAAAGATGAATTTCATTGGGGAAATCTGCCATCAGAGACCTCTTCAGAGTGCTGAAAAGCAAAGATTTCAGCCTAGAGACTAAGGTGTGTATGGTAAAGGCCATGGTCTTTGCAATTATTTGCAATGCATCAGAGAGCAGGACAGTGACTTAGGATGACAGAAGAAGAATCTATGCCTTTGAGTTGTGTTGCTAGAGAAGAGTATTGAATATACCATGGACCACCAAGAAAACAGACAAGTCTACCTTGGAGAGGATGAAGCCAAGTTTCTCCTTGAAGGCTAGGATTTTTAAGCTCTGTCTCACACACTTTGGTCTCATATGTGGCCAGGAGGAACTGATCCTTGGAGAAGGATATCATGCTCAGAAGAGTGGAGGTACAGTGCAGAAGAGATGAGACAGATTGACAAAGTAATGGGAGGTAGGAGTATTAGAGTCAGTGAGACTGGCTCAAGTTATGGCAGGCTTCAGAACTTGTTGTACACAGAATTGCTGTGAGTCACAGGCAACTCAACGGCACATAACAACAATCCTATAGTTGATAGTTTCTCTTCTGTTGATTGTGCATATAGTTGATAGTTTATTTATGTCATAGATTAGGGCTCCTAATTTTGCCTCATCCCCTCCACCCCATTGATGATCTTTGTTATTTTTGTTTTACAGCATGTTCCTTGATCCATCTTGAGTTAGTTTTTGTATATGGTGTACGATATAAGTCTTGCTTCAATGTTTTTGCAAACATTGTTGTGATGTGCTCTTGAGTTGGAAACCACTACTAAATGACCATCCAGTGGACTTTCAGAGGTTATACATCTGGGATGAGTTTGCCTATATTTCTCTCTTGGAGCAGCTGGTGGAGTTTAACCACCTGCCTAAGAGTTAGCAGTGCAACTGCTTGTCACCTGAACCTCCGAAGTGATATTTTGTGGATGGATTTATTTCTGGGTTCTTGCTTCTATGCCTTGGTCTATATGCCTGTTGTACCAGTGCCAAGCTGTGTTGATTTTTGCACCAGTTCCTAGCAGTTGTGGCTGTGTGGTTGGCTCTGAAGGCAAGTATAAGGCCTCCTATATTTCCTTCTTCAGTATCACTTTGCTTCTCTGGGGTCTTTTTCCTTTCCATGTGAAGTTGGCAATTACTTTCTCCATCTCTGAAAAATAATGACAGGATATGAATTGAAATCGCACTATATTAGCATTCTGCCTTTAGTAATATTGCCATTTTAATAATGTTAAGTCTTCCAATCCATGAGCATGGCATGTTTTTCTATTTATGTAGGTATCTGTGTTTCTCATAATAGGATTTTGTAGTTTCCCTTACACACATCTTTTGTGTCTCTGGTTAGAGTTATTCCTAAATATTTCCTCATGTGTTGATACTGTGATTAGGTGCCATTGAGTGTATATAACTCATAATGACACTATTAGTAACAGATCTGAACCGTGTCCTATCCTTTGCCATCCTCACACTCCCTGACACACTTTTGTAGTAGTCACTGTATCAATCCACGTGGTTAAGAATCTTCTTCTCCTTCACTAACCTTCTGACTTTCTGAGCATCACGTCACTCTCTGAGAAATAGCCCCTACTAGCAACATGCCCAAAACATGTGAAGCTAAGTTTTATCATCTTTGCCTCCAGGGAATATGTTGGCTGCACTTCCTCCAAAACATATTTGTTTGTTCCTTTGGCAGTCCATAGGATGTTCAGTGCTCTTCTCCAAAACCACAGTTCAAAGGCATCAATAATTCTCTGTCCTCCTTATTCATAATCCAGCTCTCAGATGCATAGAACAATTAGAAAGACCATAGCCGGAATCAAACTCACCGTACTCCTCAAGCTGACATCATTACTCCTCAATTATTTGCAGAGGTCCCTAACTGCAGACTCCCAATGCAATATACCTCCTTGTTTACTGATTTCTGATACCCAGGGAGTTGATTGTGGATCCAAGTAAGATGAAGTTGTTGACAGATTCAATCTTTTCTCCAGCTATCATGATGTTGTCTACAGGTCCAATGTTAGAATCTTTGTTTTCTTAACACTGAGATGAAATTTATATTGAACACTATATTCTTTTGTGTAATTATTATAAACAGTATTCCCCACCACCCCTTCCTTACTTCATTTTCAGAGTTCTCTTTGCTATTGTAGAGGATTCAAATTAATTTTTGTATGTTGATCTTATACCCTGCCACTTTGCAAAATTGGTCAATTATATCCAGTGTCTAAGTGTCTGGAATTTTCTATGTATATGATCATCTCATCTGCAAATAGAGATATTTTCAATTATTGCTTGGATACTTTTGCTCACCTTTGGTATCAGGTTATACTTGTTTTATAAAATAAATTTGGGAGTATCCCATAATCTCATATTTTTCTATTTTCTGAAATAGTTTGAGTATAATTGTTGTCATCTCTTCTCGTGAATGCTTTGTAGAATTCACCCATGAAATCATTTGCACCAGGAGTTTGGGTGTATATTTATGACTTGTCTTTGTTAGTGTAAGTAGGAAATGAGTTCCTGAAAATGTGTAATTTTTTTTCTTAAATTTTCAAGTTTAGTGGCATATAGTTCTTCATCATAATCTGTTATTATTTATATTTCAGTTAGCTATGTTCTGGCTTGATGTATTCATCCTGTATTTGTGGCATTTGCATCTTTTCTCTCGTTAGATTTGCCAGAGGCTTGCCATTTTGTTTGTTTTTATTTATTTTCCTATTGGAGAGGCATAGTCAATAAAGAGTTGCACTGGTAATCCAAAGGCTGTGATTCTCTGGCAGTTGAAATCAGCCAGTGACTCCAAGGTAGAAGGATGAGCCCTCTCCTGTCATGCAGTTTATTGCCTCTGAAACCCAATGGAGTGTCAGCTGTAAGTCCATTCTGCTTCAAGGGTGGTGAGTTAAATTGTTAACTTTATTAATCCTTTCAAGGAAGTCATACTCTTATGAATTCTGTTTTCCTGCCTGTAATTTCTGCTCTTTATTTTTACTTTCTGAGAATTTTTGGTTTTGCTTGCTCTTTTACCTTTTAGAGATGATTATGTATTGTTTCTTTTTTGATATGTGTGTTTATTGCTGTTAGTTGATCTCTGAGTACTGCTTTTACTGTGTCCCAGAAAAATACATATTCAGAGTTTGTTACTGGTTCTCCTCTGTAAGTAATTTTGCATTTTTTTTCTGAGTTGCTTTCAGTATTCTTTTTAATTTTAGAAAAAAAGTGTATTACATGTCTTTGTAGTTTTCTTTTGTGACCTATATCATTTGACTCACACTCCTAAATGCATTGTTGTTGTTGTTGTTGTTGTTGTTGTTAGGTGCTGTTGAGTTGAGTACAATTCATAGAGACTCTAGGAACAAAAGATCTGGACTCTGTTCTATCCTTCACCATTCTCTCACTTCCTGACACACAAAGGCCTATTGCAGTAGTCATTTTGTCAATCCACTGGGTTGAGAGTCTTCCTCTCCCTCAGCGACCCTCTACCCTTCCCAACATCATGTCCCTCTCCAAGAAATACCACCTCCTAACAACATGTCCAAAGTATATGAGGCAAAGCCTCATCATTCTTGCCTCCAAAGAGCACTCCGGATACACCATCCCAAGATGTATCTGTTTCTACTCTTGGCCATCCGTGGAATGTTCAATGCTCTTCTCCAACACCACAGCTGAAAGGAATCAATTCTTTTTCTTTCATTCTTATTCA